CTTGTCAGGCTACGCATACACGTACATGAGAGATATTGTTTAATTACTTTGTGCTATACAGTTAACTTTATCTCCGTGCCATTCAAGATAAAAGTGAATGTTAAATTGTTACACTGTTTATTGACAATGAAACAGAATATGAAGTATAATATAGTTTTAAAAAAAAAAAGAAAAAAAAAACTTTGATCAAGAAAACTTGGCTATTGTATCATTTATTTAAGATACAGTACTAAATTAATATGGATACTGATAAATAAATAAACGCTGCTCGGATTGATCAATATGATATAAAGTAGATAATATTTGGTAATCATAGTCCTAAGTAACTATTAAAAATAGCTAGACGTTTCGAGCAATGGCTCTTTATCGACAGCATAGAAGTGTTTAAACGTATTGGTAAAACATAAGAACGTAACAACATGCACAGCAACTATAAAATAGAATCACTGAATAATTCCACAATAGAACATATTTAATACGCGCTTTAGGTAGTAAGCTCAATAAAATGAGTTAAACTGTTAATTCTTCTACTTACCCAGTACATATGGACTTTTTGCAATCTGCGTCTTGTTGCTATCAGAATCATTAGTGCTAAGAATAAAATTAAATTTGGTTCCTGGTACCAAATTCTTTAAAGTCACGGTTGTTGCATCACCTTTAGCGATTGTGATGGGAGATTGTGGCGTCAAATTGGGTGGGTCATACATCAACTCATAACTGATGATGTCACCGTCTTGGTCTGGCCAATTAACAATTAAGGAATCATCGGACAGTATGAAAGTTAGGATTTCTTCGTCTGGAAGAAAAAAATTAAAAACCTGTTTTGCACACTTTTGACATTATACAAGTTCATGAAAAAAAAAGTGATTGATTGATCAATGTCAGAACGGATGAGGCTCAATATCAGGGTAGCTTGAAATTTTATGTGAAGATTCTATTAATTATAATCATACAGAAATTCAAGAACATAAATTCATACAGTCATACCTGTACTTGTGACCAGCATTGAAGGTTCACTCATCTCCATGGTAACATCACTGCCTTTAATTGTATACACACTTATTGTATACTCAGTTTCCGGTGTGAGTTGTTCCAGCAATAATTCTGGATTTCCACCTTTATTGATAGAGGCAGCCAATTGAGCCGTATCTCCAGTTGGGCCATAGTAAACCTCATACAGGTCAAAATCGCCTACTGCAACTTGCCATCGAATTGACAGGGTTGTTTGAGTAGTAGCAATGACACTGACTGGTCCTGGTGCAGATGGATCTGAGAAAGAAAGAATCATAAAAAATAATTCTTTATTCCAGTGTATTAGTCATGTGATATATTTGTAGACGCCTTAAGTCCTAATCATCTTTGCCGAAAGTTTCTTAAGGTCGTTGGACTTATTATTATTTAATAATAAGAATTATCTGTGAAGTATGTATTTATTTGATTATCTGAATGCAGTAATTAGAATAGAAGCAAGTATGAAAATATAAAAGATATAAACAATTCACGTAAATATTTACTTTTAAAATTTTTTTTTAAATTACTATTTAATATACTCGCTTCAATTTTTAGAAATCTTATTGAATCCACACTATATGCAATTTTAACTGATAATCAACTGGTAAGCTAAAAGGATTGCCAACATTCGACATGCAGAAATCATTTAAAAACTGAAATGAGTATTATCACAATTCAGACAATAACATTTCATATGATAGTCTTAAAATCAAAATAAAACTTTAGAAATGATCAAAGAGTGAAACTTTAATATCAAAAGTTTTCTCTCCATTAACCTTTTCACTACCAGTTTTCTATTTTTATCATAAATTCACAAAATAGTCCCATTAATAGTCTACACTTTCCTTCATAAGATTGGGACAAAAATGGTCAAGTTTTTTGAGTAAAAAAAAAAGTGCCTCAAATGTTGTCAGTTGGTTTCAAAATTAGGGTTCATTTCCAGAAATATTGAAGAATATAAGAAAAAAGTGGAGACAAATTCAGGCTAGAAATCTGGTGGTGAAAAGGTTAAAGTGCTATATTATTCGAGAGCATTCATCCCAGTGTTATCACAAATACACACACTATAGTCAAGACGAAAGGTCTGAAGTAATTGCTACACACACTATAGTCAAGACGAAAGGTCTGAAGTAATTGCTACATGATTGTACAATGTTACCATTAGTGGGGCAACTAAACATTTACAAAAACAGGGCAACAGAGAATATTAAGAATTATGTCAAGTCTGATGTTCAAAACACAGTGCTACTTGCAAACATCTGGTGCTTGTTGTAAATTTGAAGAGAAACAACTTTACAAAACTCTGAAAAAAGCAAAAAATTGTTTGGATAAATTTACGCTGTGACTTATGGCGTTACGATGACAGATGTATAATAATGAATTGTACTTACAAGTTCTTTGTTGAATTTCTTTGGATATCCCAATACCTTCTATTGTCACTCTGATAGTGTATATTTTACCAGGAATTAGGTTATTAAATGTATACACAGGTGGATTATCAATGGGTATATTGGCAGTGATTGGTGTGGAATAATCTGGTGTAGTGGCTAAAAGGTTATACAACTGTGCGTTTGGATCATCACTTGGACCCCAGGATATTCCAATACTTGTAGATGTGACTGATTCTAATGCTATTTCACCAGCTGGGGCTTTGCCTGAAACAAAGATAGGAAGGTTGGATTAGAAAGTTTGAATGGTTTGTTGTAGTAGTATTAGGTTATACAAAAACGCACTTCAGGCATCACTCCAGCATATTCTAATCCTGTGACTGCTTTTCAAGGTATTTACCCAGCTTTGTCTGATGTAAAGAAAGCAATAAATCACTGGTAGTGTTGACTCATAATTAGTAGAGTTCAAATTAGCAATCTGAAACTAGTTAAATCCACTACCTGATATTCATTTTCGATCTGGTGAATTGGGGAAACCTTGGTACAGTTCGATAGTGTGTGTTCAACTGGGCCACCAGGATAGTGCATTAAATTACCATAATGCCATTATGATATGAAGTTGCATGGTCACACAGCCCGGTCATGTAGTCTCTAAATTAGACATGGTTTTCTGTGACAATTAAATGCACTATGCCAGAAGGCCCTTTGCACAGAACTAGTTTAAAAAAAAGCAATACTGATACGCTACAGGATTTGAAGACTGGATGAAGTTGCCAGCAGTTGGAAGTGCTAGACTACAGTATGCAGGTATAATTACAAAGCCTATATTATCTGGCCATGGTAATATAAAAAAATAAAAATTCAAATCATTAATTTAGACTAACAAACGAATACATTTAATAATAAGTATTCTCCAGTTTCATTCATCAGATTATCAACAAGACGAACATGGAAAATATTTTATGCACAC